CGGGCACCGCCAGCGCCGCGAACCAGGCAAGGCCGCGGCCTGAGGGGCCATCCCCGGCCCCACAGCCACCGCCCCAGTGCTGCTAGCGAGCAGTGTCCGTCGCAGCCACCGCAGCCGCGAGCCGCCACGCGGCGCCTCCACCACGGCCCGGAGCGCCTGCAAACACAGCACACACCTCCACAGCGATGGGTACGCCACACGGGTCTGCAGGGACACCGAAATATCCCTGTTTGCAAGAACGGGGTATAGGGTGTGTTCTCTGACTTCGAAACAAAATACTAGCAAATACATACCGTTGTGAAGTAATGCATCAGCACCCAAATTAAAAGCTGAAATTACCACACACAAATATGAAATATGACAATTCTAAACTATATTTGTTTCCCTGAAACATCATATAGGAGTACCTATATTCAGAAAAGTTAATTATCACAGTTATTGGAAAATGATTTCTTTGAAATAACTTGCTTCAGACTGATATTTAATCCCTTTAAAAAAGCAGGGATGTTTTTGATGGAGGCAAATATAAATTAAAGCTGCTTTCTTTGATTTACGCTTTCAATAAAGCACTTGGATTGATGTTTCAGAATGAAATTCAGATTGAAAATCAGCCTTGGACTTTTGACTGGCTACTGGAAAATGAAAGTTGGCAGTTCAGACGACCATTAAGCCTGATGTGATGCACAACTTTATCTCCACAGTTCTCCAATTAAGATCTACTTGAAGAGTTAAAATGCATTAGGCCAACGGAGAGCAGGAGACAGAAGTTAAAAACGTAGCCACGTGTGTACTGATTCCAAGTGTCTCCCTGATGCTTTCAGTACAGGATTTAAAGAACTAGGCATTCTCTCTCTCATTTTTAGAGGTTTATGGTATTTCCTTATACTTCGTTAAAATTGGGTGGTATATCTGCAATACTCAGTTTAGTATTAGAGTGAAACTGCAGTATTTATTACCTAAAAAAATTCAAACATAAAAAAAATGCAAATATAACTATAGATTTAATGGTTATATTTCATTCAACATAGTGCAGCTTTGTGAAAAATTGTCCATTGCTGTATAAGACCTAAAGCATTTTATTTACAGATAGTGGTTGATAAAGAATATTATTACCGTTGCTTCCTCACCACCTGTGACAGTTGAAGAACGAGCTCTCCTAGATGGACCACTCTGCTGTCAAATGACAATTAATGTTACAGATAAGTATATTCAGTGATGAAGATCACAGACTACTCTCATATCTTTAGGAAGAAAGAATCACAGATACCCTCAAGCTTGTTAATGGAGAGCGATTAGACTGAAATAATGCAAAAATAACAGCAAAAAAAAAGTGAAGACATCAATCACTGATGACCCAGTCAGAATTTTACACATAAAACATGGAGGGAACTAATTTCAAGGGTTCTAATATCCAACTTCATATGTTCAGTACTGCTAATGATGATATTGAGAACGTTTACTCAATGAGTTATATGGCTAAGGTTGTTCTGAGGCACAAACATATTTTGCATGTTCTCACTGATAAACAAATATGGATAAACTCTGGTCATCAATGAGTACAGAGAAAAAGTCAAAAAAAATCAAAGGATTTCAAACAGTATTTCAAAATTTCAATGGGGATTAAGAAAGTCAAGAACAGCAATTTGTTTAGAAAGAAAGCAGTGTGAAGCTGCTAGAATATAAAGTATTATTAGTCAGTAAAGATTAAAAATTGGTCAAATCAGGTAACATTCTCATTTCAGGGCAATGCTTTAAATTCTGCTGTTTTCAACATTTTCTAATGAAATAAAGTTTCTACAATAATCAACCGAAAAATACATCACAAGTAAGCCCAATCGGATCACATCAGGTAGAGAAACCCAGTTCTAAACAGAGGAGGAGAACACCCCTGGAACAGACTGCGAGAGGAGGCAGCTTCTGCTAGAGATAGGACAGCTTTGGAGCGATTGTGCTGGAAACCACAGTATTTTTACCCAGAAAAGCAGGGAGATGGATAATACTTCAGAAGCACTACTTTGATCAACAGTATCTGCAAAGCAGCAAAGGAGCAAAAACTTCTAAAATACATGAAAACACAGCTCAAAGAGAAAAGCAGCATGGTGGCTGTAAACGCCTGCCCAGCACCAACAGACAGCAAGTGAAGGAGAGACATCAGCTTTAGTTATGAACTTACTAGTATGTTCTACTTAGTATTTCCACTGCAAAATTGCATCATCTTTTTTATTTGTGGTTTCATATGCAACATATTTCTAAAAATTTTCCGAAAAATTCTAGAATAAGTTGTTCTGAAAAAATATATCATTTGTTTTATCAAATTGTTCTGAAACACCTCGACTAACCTCATTCAAAAGCAGATCTTAGGAAGGAAAAAATACACAGAACCTGCTACCCCTTAGCATGAAGAGGTCACGAGTGGGACCACTACTTTTGTGAAAAATATGTTAGCACCTTGTCCTGGGTCTATTTAAGGGATCTACATAAATGCTTCACTTAAATGAATTCGGAAAAGAAAAGCTGCTTGCTTCAATCGCTCAGATCATGCAAGTACAACAGATGGCATTTCACGGAGTTCTGTTGTACAGGGACCATCACAAAAGGGATTGTTATATTCAGACAGGTAAAACACGAACCCATTTTTAAAGTTCTTAGTGATTTCCTTATGTCACATTTATAATTCTGTTCACACTTGGGAGTACCTCTTCTTAAGACTATCTACAGCAGTCTAATGTTTTGGCTCGTGTATTCCCCGTGCTCGCGGCCTCGCTGCTTCTTCCTGCTCTACAGATCTCGCCATTTGACCTGCTGGTCGTGATGATATTAACCTGGTATATGTTACTACTTGGGATAGCCAAATGCCCACACCAGTAACTGATCTAGATCTGAATTCAAAGGGAAAGGAGATGATTGAGGTGATTCAGAACCAGAAAATATTCAAACCAAAACAAGAAATAAAATTTAGCTTTGCTTTACCAAGGATAACTGAGACTGTTCGGCAACTGTGTCCGTTACGCTGCAGGATCTCAGTCTTGAGGAAGGATCTCTTTGCTGGAAAAAAAAAAGAAAGATACCTTTAAGTTACACTGCCACAAAACATATGTGAATTTCACTTGCATGTTTTTAGTCTTAATATTGATACAGAAACTGGCAAGCAATCAAAAACACAGGTTCTCCACACTCCACCTCGGAAGGGTGTTTGGACACTGGAACCAGCCACCTAGAGACTGTGGTGCCTCCATCCTTGCACCAAGCCCCACCTGGACATGGTCCTGGGCAACCTGCTCTGGGTGACCTTGCTGGAATGGGGTTGGACCAGGTTATCTAGAGAGATACCTAAAAACCCAACACTTAGGCGATCATGTCACTGTGCAATTTTGAAACATCCCCATGGATGGTACCAGTTTCTCAAGGCATTAGGCATGGCCTGAACAATTATTTTTTGTTACTCGCATGAGAAATCCCATAAAATAGAAAAAAAAACCCACCAAACACAACATTTAAAAAGCTTTTCCCTTCAAACTGCCTTCTCTCTTGCTTGCATTAACAACCAGCCTCTCCAGAACAATCTTCTAACTTGCATTTGCCACATTTCACATAGCAAGCCCCTGTTTCAGATCAGCATGCACCTTCAGAAGGCCCCATACCTCTCACACTATTTGCACTGCTGCTAAATATCAGTTTGGTGAAGAAACTGAGAATTTTTTTTTTTTTTTTTTTTTTTTTTTTCTCCTCTTACATAGAAACAGGGAGGCTTTGATTCATGTGGCAAGTCCCGTGTGTAGAAACAGGCCTTAGGTAATTCTTAAGCATATTGTTTTGTATAACTTACATATCATTTTTTAAAATCAGAGAGTAATTACTCTTTCCTGGACATGAATGGTATGAATAAGAATGCTCTTATAAATAAGCAAATGACCCAGGGCATTTATAACAACTGACGGGCGCTCACATGCACCATCGACAGACAGGGAAGCAACACTGCAGCAAACTACTTAAGAGGCATACGAGAACCATTGGCTCTTACTCAAAACTGCCATCAGTCTTAAAAGCATATTCTGTTGAAAGATCAGAAGGTTAAACAAATTACCTATTTCTTCTATGTTAGGCTAAAAATTAATATGACAGGATTTGTCTGACAAATGCGGTGAGCTGCAGTTTGAAATGTGTTCTGGTATTACACAGATATATGAGGGCACAAAATCATTGCAAGACATCTATTGCAAAGGTTCTTTGTGGAGAAGGGTCAGCATTAGCACTTCTTCCTCTTTCCTTTGGGAGAGTCCTAGCTTGATGCTCCCTAGTACTGGATGACATATTTTGTTTCCCTGTATGAATAACTGGGTATAACTGGAGTAGACTCTGAAGTCAAACTCACGCAGAGGAAAATATGAAACCTGAAGTGAGGAGCTGTTAACTGTTCTTTAAGGCAGCTTGTTCTACGGTAAATTTCGGATGCATTTTTGAAGACACATTTAACTTGCATGTGCTTAGATTTCCCTAAGACAACCGTCCATGTAAATGACTTAGACTACACCCAACTAAGCGAGGATTACAGCACTAGAGGAGCATACAGAGAAAGCAGAGCACGTCACGTACAATCAAAGAGCTGAGTTGTTCCCCGTTGGAGTCGGGAGCGACCTGGAGCCGGCGGGTCAGCTCCTCGGACAGCTCCTGCGGGCTGGTTCGGGACACCGGGGACGACGGAGGGGGCGGCAGGGACAAGCTCAGGGAATCTCCGCTGGCACCTGCCTCCTCCGAAATGGTTTCCCAAGGCTGGCAAAAGAGAGAAAAACAGTCCTGCTTAGCACTTGAGAAGGAAGCCGAGTCTCCTTCCAGGACGCCTCCAGGCCTCGCTGCATCAAAAACAGGCGTTTCACTTATTTCTGCAGTACCAAGGGCTACCGAGAGCCGCAGATGGGCTTGCTGTCAAGTGAAACAGGCTGCATCCTCAACGCTGCTTTCAAGTCTACTAATGGGATTAGTATTAAACGAAATAAAACAGTCCCTAAAACACAAACAAGCCTTCTCCCCCCTAGGAAGCAGTCATGGGGTTAAAAACAAAGAGTTCTCATGTTGTCTTCAGATGGTCTTCATGATGGAGATTGAACAATGCTTTATAATTCAAAAGACAACATGTTGTTGAAATGTTAACTAAATTAAGTAAAAAATTAGCTGTCATTATATATATGCTATTTGAAATTGCGTTCAAAATGTGATTTTCAATTCAAAATAAAATGTCTAATAAAATATTCCTAAGTATTTAAAAATCAGTTATTAGTAGCTGATGAGTGCAATAAGACTCAGCAATCCATATTTTGCTCTGAGCAATATTAACTGAACCAAAGATAATGTTAACGAATTGTCTCTGATTAGTAAAATATTCCTTAAGATTGAATGCTATTAGTTTTGAACAAGAAGCTCACTTAAGCCAACAAATATTCAATAAACTTCATTTAGTCTAATTGGAAAGTACACAAACACACTGAGAAGCAATATCTTAGAATTCTTTAAAGAAAAAAAAAGTGAAAAAAACTTTTTTCCCCCACTAATTCCAGACACTAAAGAAAATCGAAATAAATGGCAGTTCCAATCACCTGATAATATTAACTTATTACAAAATAACCACCCTGCTCCCAGTTTCCCCACTCCTGGAACTCCTGTAACTTTTTTCCACAGTTTTTCAAAACAGAATATTGGGAGTGTTTCCATCAACCCGTTTGTACCAACAAGGCCTGGCGCTGTAGGTATTTGTCCTAACATCAGCCTTGTGTTTAGTACCATGCATCCAACATCAGTCACCCATAAACACAGGCGAACTTGAACACACGGCTCGCTCTGGGACTTTATTCCACCGTGCAATCTTATTTAGGTAATTTCCGCAGTAACTGGGTAAAAACTACCCTGCACTTAGAGCAAGCAGCTGGCAAACGAGAAGGCCAGCGCGGCGCCGGGTGCCGCGGGCACCGAGGGCCGGACGCACCTCCGGAATGTCTCCGCTCTCCATGGGCTCCGGCTCCAGGTCCTCGCTGATGTGCCGCCGGGAGCGGAACCGCCTGTGCGCCGCCTCTTGGTTGATCTGCCTGATGTTGTTGTCCGACTCCGAGCCCACATCGCTGCACGGCGGCAAGGGAAAGACGGGGAGAACAGGAAAATAACGCAGGTTACACGAGAGCACGGCACGCCGGGCTGGAAGCAGCCGCTCGCTCAGCGCCGCGGCCGCACGCGGAGAACCCGCG